ATGTTTCGTTTTGTCTTGTTATAGCATAAAAGTAATATTGTCTTCATAGAAGATTTTTATAAATCTTTGTTTGATTTTAGACAACATGATGGCTTTTGAAATGGCAATAATAAGCAAAAATTAGACCTTAATTTTTATCAATCTTAGAAACACGAGTCTTGATTTTTAGACCTTCTTAATTTGAAATGGCTTTTAAGAACCGAACCAAGTATGTTGCATAATACAAGGATGACTTCTGGCTAAGGATGGAAGGCCAACCAAAATTAGATACTTTGACTAAAAAATTGCAATAATAAGCAAAAATTAAGAACCTTAACTACAATTAAAATGTAGTGTAACCAATAAAAATTGTAATACCAATATAACCGTCCTAAAATAAAGCTTGGCATCCCTTAGTAGAGACAAAAAATAAAAATAAAACCACCCGAAAGGGTTCTTTCATCCTATCTAAAACTTTAAGACATGTTTTTTTAGCTCGAATTACATGGGCTATATGCTAATACGAAAGAGGCAAATAATAGAAATTTACTACTTTAGAACATAATTGTTCTTTCCAAATACCTATCTTTAATTACCGGCAAAGGGCCAACTGATTCAAAACTCCAGATTTGCATTTGGCCTAAATTTGCTGAATTTGTTCTATCTCCTGCAATTCTAAGTTTGGTTAATCATCAATGTTTGTTGTTGTTGACATAAATATGGTAAGAACAGGAATTGTTGGTAGCAGAAGCTGAACACTCAGTTTAAAACTCCTCTACATGCTAGAGATACAAGCAATGCATAAGGAGAGCAACATAATTATGGGGTAGAAATACCAAAAGATATCTTGTACCAGTGAGGCCAAGAAACAAACCAATAGGGAAACTGAGTAATTCTTGACTTGAGTGCGTATGTAACTCATATCAACTTGAGGTGTCAATGAGATTTCAATGGAGATGAAGGAGAAGAAAAAGAAAAAGCTAGTGAGATGCCAAAACTTGATCCAAGTGAAATTTCACAGCACTCTCCCTTTCAGAATGAAAGGGAAAAGGGACAATAACATTTTCTTATGAAAAGGGAAAAAGGAGAAACAACATTCTCCCTTTTCGTATGAAAAGGGAAAAGGGAGAGTAACATCTAAAGGTAGAATCATAGCACTCTCCCTCGCAGGGATTCTCCTTTTTCATATGGTGCCTAGTGGCACCCCTGTTTCAACTGGGCAACCTCAGTCCGATCCAAATAATATAGCCCCCCCCCCTTTTTAGTTATCCAATTTGTGCTTCAATACCGTATCTGGCTTGACTTTAATTAAGACTCATGTTTCTAAGATTTTCTCGATCAATCATTCGCTAAGAAAGTTAATTGGCGGACCAAAATAAACTTATATTCTCATCATTCTTTAATATCTATGTTTAAAACAATATTTTATGGGAATATTATATTAATACCTTTGAACAATATTTTATTTTTTCTAAAAAATCGCAAATTTTTATTTTGAATATTATATTATTGATCTCGAAATATCGTAATGTTATACAGTAATATTCTTTAACAATATTCTGTAGTTATTCTTGGATAATTATGAATTTATACACTTCAATGTAAAATATTGTATTGATCTTGAATTTTAACTATACTGCATTTAAAGAAGCAAAAATTTATTTATATTAATATTAAAGAAGAATATTGCTTTGATACTCTAGAAGAGTCAATATTGCATTATGTGGGAGAATAAACTTCCTGGAAATATGCTCAATATCATTTGATTGAATAGTTGACCCACTCCTTGTTGTTTGAAGAAACCCTCCACTTCAATACTATTGATAATAACTTAGTACTAAATTAGTAAGAAACCTACCAAGTTTCTAAAATATTTGTCATGATTGATACTATATCGACATTGGTATATTTGAAATAAACATTGCATTGAACAAGAAGTTCAATTATTGAATATATTATTGCTTGACATTATTATTTGGTTCATCACTTGATCAATAATAATGCAAAATTAAGAATTCAAATGAATATTCAGAAGAACTATAAATTCTTCAATCTAATGAATTCCTAAATAATACTTTTTCCATGTGTTACGAATTGGTCTTGATCATCACTAGATAAAGTTAGAACTAAATATCAATAATCTTGAAATTAAATAGGGCATGTTGACCATCTAGTTATAATTGTGTGTGATAAATATATTTACTAGATGATTGCATTGTGTTTGCACCTGAACTTTGCAAATTCTTTTATTAAATTTTAAATTATTAGCTTAAATTTTATATTATACCATCAAGACAATGTATCATGTCAATGTTAGTAAATCTACATCCAAATTAATATTTTGATAAATGTTGATTGGGATGACAATAAATTGTTTAACACAATTGATTGTTAAATACCTCCAATTAATTTCTTAACTATTATTGTTAAAAACAAAGTACTTTCCATTTATGTTTAGATAATGACACATTATGCACCAAGCCAATGTCAAAGTTAGAGCCTAACTTTTCATTTATGGTTAGAACCTAATATTTTTCATCTAATGATTTTCTAATGTGCAATATATATACCATAGTGCAATGGGATAGTTATTAAAGAATGATGAGAATTTAATTTTATTTTGAACCCTTACAAAATATTCTAAACTCTCAAGGTTGATATTTTATAACACAGTTTGCTCACGTCAATTTAATTAAATAATTCTCTCAATATTAAGGGAAGAAATTGGTAGCTGAAAATATTACACAATGCATCATATTATGCTGTCTATATCCTTGCACTTGATAATCTGAAAAAATAATTCAATTGCAAAATACATTTCTGGCATATAAGAAATTACTAAAATCTCATATACCAACTATAGACATTCAATGCCGTATTGTTATCTTAGAAAGACTAAACTATTGCAACGCATAAATAATATGTTGAAACTTTGTGACATTTGATTCTTAAAAAAACAAAAAAGAAAAGAGAAAAAAGAAAAAAAGAAAAAAAAAACAAGAAGAAGAAAAGAGGTTTATCCTAATTAGGAAGCGTATATTCTTGGACGTCTCTCATTAAATTATGTCATTATGAAAAAGAAATAGAATTGAAAAGAAAAGAAAAAGTTGTCGACAATACTTTTGTACATAATATACCACTTCATATTATGAATAGCAAATATATCGAAATAAATTTGTTGAGCATATTGATTGAAGAAATGATTAGCAAAATTAAGAATGCAATCTTATTAAAACTGAACTTATTAGGGAAACCAAAAGCATTTGGACCTAAAGTTCGAGGACCTAAATGTATATACCCATGCAAAAAGTAAATAAGAAAAATGAAGCGTAATATGTAATGCACGACTTTTCAACATAATAAATTTCGCCATAGTGAATGCAATCACAAGTCAATATATTGTTATCATCACGATGCATGAAATTTGAAATGTGATTGGCATCACTATTAATGTTATCCTTGAAGAATTTAATATGACTGAAACATATAATTCAAGTAATATTATTTTGAGGAGGAATAAATGTGTTGTACTTTTTTTTTTTTTTTTAAATCAAGATTTCGTCTCATTGAATTTCATGATGAGATTTCTAATGAGACAACTTTTTTAGTATACTTTAAAGAAAAATGTACTATTTTTCCTTTATTGGGATTTTTTGCACATGATTTTTCTAGTATGGTTTTAACGTGGCATATTCTTTGTGTAATAGATGTCTAAAACCCACTAGACATTTACTCTCAAAATAATATTCTTATATGTTACAAATTGCCGATGACTCTAGAAGAGAGCAATAACACAATCTAATTTTCATTGGATCATCATGTTGTCTAAAATCAAACAAAGATTGATAAAAATCTTCTATGAAAACAATATTACTTGTATGCTTTAACAAGACAAAATGAAACATATTTTACCAGAATTGAAATATTTAAAACAGTGACGTACAAGACATAGACGGTCGATACAAGAATTTTTATTTATTTAAATCAAAGGAGTAGATGTACACTTTTCTTTGTCAATCAAGTTTTGTCCCATTGGATTTTCATGACACAATATTAATGAGGAAGTATTTATTAATACATAGTTTGTTATAATTATTTGTACACTTCTTTCGTTTGTGTTCGTAGTTTTGTCCCACTGAGTTTTTGTCAAATTAGGTTTTTAATGAGGAGAATATTGTATACAACTATGAGATAATTATTGATGCCGATTTAGTCTTATCAAGATACTTAGATAAATCTTATTTACTTTGTAAGGGTCTATTTTATTCAGATTGTAATGCTTCTTTTAAACCTTATAAATATGTGTCCATTATTGCAACAAACTTACAAACTTAGTCTTGACCCTATCTATTCATTTTTTGTATCTCTCTCTTTTTCCTTTAGAATTATGAAATTAGTAGATTTGTTATCCTTTCAAATTATCAAACTAGTAGATTTGTTATTAGGTACTTTTAAACTTCAGTTTGTTTTTAAGGTGATTTAATAGTAACATACTGCTTCTTTCTTTATAAGGTGATGTAGTTTCCCAACTACCATTGCAATGGTATATTATATTAAATTCCATTATAACGGCATCTAGTATATCTTTATACTATGCTTTGTGTTGAAGTCGAGAATTGGGAATGAGACCCATAATTCTCTCTGTTGGCGTATTGTCACACGGATTTTGATGAGTAATGTGCTAACGAAGGCATACTTGCAAGTCCACTCCTGTAACGGATTTGGTGGTGATGTGCCAAAAGAGGTACATTTTCAGAGGATGTAAAAGAAAGGAATTTGAGTCTTTCGTGTTGCACCGTCTTATTTAGCTTCCATTTCAGCCCCTTCTCATTTTCTGCCAATTGCTGAAGTCGTGTGTGCTACCTTGACCGTTGGAAATACATTTACAATTTCACCCTTCTTCTCAACTTGCCGATTCCTAATTCAAAACTATTATAAGGGCAGTATTGTAATTGGTGTTGGCTATGATAGTATTATTTTATTGTAAATTCCACATCCAAATGACAAACTGGACGGTTCAATGAAGTAATAGACACGTTGATCTATCAATATCCAATTGGACGAACGGTGTAAACTAGGAACAGAGAAAAAGACAGTATAGCTTTATAGTTTGAACAATTGAGCTGGTAAATGGGAAGTTGCATACTCACTTTATTCAGTGGTTGTCCAGAACTGCATTCAAAATTATACTCTTAATTTAACTAGTATACAACAGATTTTGGGTCATCTGCTCCAGCTTGCATCTGGCAATGGATCTTTTTGCCACAGCATTGCCAAGAAAACCCTTGAGCCCGACCCAATGTGAGTGATCATTGGAGTTGTGCAGAGAAGACGTCGCTCGCCTTTCGTATCAAACCTGTGATAATTAAATCATATGAAATAATATCGGGTGCGACATAGAGAGTTAAGTAATTCCCAACCTATATTCTCTGTTTCTTGACCAGTATTTTTCAGCGTATCCTAGGACCAAAAGGACATTCCAAAATTAGATGGATCAAAACCACCAACCAAAAAACAAATCTTGATTCACTTTGTGCCCATAGAGATTAATGATAATCTTCAGCAGCAAGTATACAAATTGCCAGTGTATCCATTACTTCAACGGAAATTCTTCCTAAAAGAAGAGGAAGCTCGATTGTCACATACCACTAACAACTCACCATCTTTATTTAGACTTTCAATGCCAGGGCAGAGCATGAAGCAAAATGGTAATAACCATATACATAATGAAGGAATGATCCATGTAAGAAGCCTATGTACTTAATATGCTTCAAGTGTCAGGGTAAAGTAAAAATAAAAAACTACTAGCGTCTACACCTCAGAAAAGTGTCATCCTAGTACAACTAACAATTGAATATTCACCATCCCGAAAGACGTTGAACCGACCATGCTAATGAATTTGCCACTCGCTTAAATGTCCATTTACCAGTATAATATAAACAACACTGAAAGTTTAAATGAGGTACAGGAATTACCCTGATGAGCCTGTATTTTGGCTCGTATTTCTTTGCACTCTCAACAGAATCATAGATCAAGCCAAAACCAGTGGAATTGCCTCCACCAAAGTGCGTCCTGAACTTAAAAACAAATATGGCATTTGGATCTTTCACTTCATACATCCTTGCCAATTTCT